TATATATATATATATATATATATAACTAGTGTGCGGCAAAATTTTGTGTATATGTAACATTTAAACTATTTCAATTATTAAAAATCTTTAGCATCACATACCTATAAACTACAATATTTACCTACAGACATTTCATTATGCTGCGAAAAACACTGTGCTGAGACTTCAATGAACATTTTTGAGTGATTGATAACGCAAATTAATTACTGAATCAGAGTTGAATTGATTCATATAAATGGCCAGTTTGAACTGATTCAGACAAATTGAACAAAATCTGATGCTACTTCGAAAAATCTATTTCAAATATATAGATTTAAAAGCTCTCATACTTAAGAGTCATAACAAAAGGAAGGATCGTCATCTCAAATATGTCATAAACAATTCATATATTGCCCAGCCCTAATTGTATGCCAGTGTTTTGGGGTTGAAAAATACTTTGTGAGACTTCCATGAACACTTGTGAGTGATGGTGCAAATGAATCACTGAATCCGAGTTAATAGATTCATATAAATGGATAGTTTGAACTGATTCATGTAGATGAATTGAATAGCATCTCTGATGCTACTTTGAAAAATTGGCACGATTAAAACTGTTCTAAAGTTATCATACCTGACGATCCTTCCTTGACTCTAATCTCAAATATTTTGTAACTATTCATTATATTGCCCAGGCCTAAATGTACACCAGCATTTTAGGGTTGATCAAATTGATTCATTTAAATGGACCATTTGAACTGATTCATGCAAATGAATTGAAACAAATCGGACTAATATAATACTAATACTAATACTCAAATATTTCAAATATATTCAAAATATCACCCAGCTTTAATTGTATGCCAGTGTTTTGGGTTGAATGGGTCATATTAGGCCTATATTTAGCTAATCTGTTCTGAGTACCAGGTGCAAAATCACATTATTCAGAGCCACGCTTTGGGTTTTGTCACACTCATACAAGCCACTTGCACATGTAATACACACATATTCTCTCACGCTCAGCTCTCAATGCAACACATAGCTTCAAAGAGAAAATGCAATGCACATCTCATCCCATTAGCCCTTCGCTTGAACTTATATGTGTACTAGAGGCAGTGAAGTTGCATCCTGCTGAGCATAGAGTCCGTGACGGCCCAACTGAATGGGTTCAGTTCTGTCTTTCTTACTGCCCGACACGATTCGATCACAGGAACCCTTCGAAGAGTGGAGCCATTTGATGAGGTCGGTTTTGTTCCTAAGTACAACATTAAAGTTTCTTTTGGCAGCTCATGAATGAACAGAAGTTCAAATGTTTATTAGAATGTCCCTTCGTCTTTCCATCTGTGTGTTTATGCTTTTGCAGTGTTTCTGAGCGCCACTTTCTGTCTTGAGGCCTACTGAGGACATGAGCAGATTGTTGACCTTTCATCAGCTC